GGAGAGAGAGAAGGGTAGGGACTGTATTTGAGTGGACGGGCGAACTTTTATTAATTATTGTTGTTTCTGGGAACGATCAAGAGGTGGAAAGGAGCTTTGTCATCAGGCAGAAGCTTACATGTCATTACTGGTGTTGAAGCACATCCGCATTGTCGCAATTTGCATCCTGCGCTTTTCTCGTTAACTAGTTAAACCCGCTTAGAAAATCTGATTATGAAGCCTCTGTAGTTATTTCCGACCCTTGACATGGTTAGCATGGAATGATCCGCATAACGGAGTGATCTCAGACGTGAAGCGCCTTCGTATGGCCTCAGGGGTCAAGAAAACTTTTGGCTTCTAATTAGGGTGCCAAAAAAACAAAAAAAATGCGCACTCTAAGGCCTACTAAATTGTACTAAACTTACCTAAGTCTTTTTGTCGCTTAGGATATGGTTCCTAAGTGTTCTTACCTTGCTTAGCCTGGCTACCCTGAAGGGCACGACTTTTCTTGCAATAAGACTGTCATATATCGGGATACCTGGGCTTTAAACTGTTCTTACCAGAGGAATAATGAGTCAATTAAATTTAACTCTTTTTCAACAGAAAGCCAGACCGTATCATAGCCATGGAATGAAGAGACTAAAAAAAACAATGTAAAGCCCCCATTTATATCATGACCAACGACAGCTCTAAAACTTCTCTCAACGTCTCAAGACGGCGGCTACAGTAATGAATGGCTGATGTCGAACCGAATTGTACATGACAACGAATTCAATCTGTCAATGTCCCCACTAATAAGCCAAGGTAGCATGATGTGCACCGTGCAGTTGCATGCGGGAACGAATGAGACCCCTAGAGCTCAAGGGCGCCTACTGGAGAAGCTATCATCAGCGCATGGTTGGCCATTGGCGGTGAAGGATATGCCACACTTGATGCAGCGCGAATGCATGGCAGCGGGACGATGCCGTGGTGACAGAGGCTTAGTTGCATGTAAACAAATGGGGTTCATCATGACAACATGTTAAAATGGGTAAGAAGAGCGTGCTAGTTGGAGGACAGCATGATGATAGATGATAAAGAGAAGGATTTGCCAGCTCATGATGAGCACATGCTTCTGCACATGCGTGCACTGAGTTTAAAGATGAGAGAATTCATGTGTGTTTCTTTCCTTTCGAATTTATTTGTTGACTCTTCTTTGTTTTGAAGCTGCAGTCATCATATTCTCTTATCTATCACCTACAGAGATACTGTAGCTGCATTGACACCCTGGACCATCACACTGCATCGCACCACCATTTTCAGACTCTCACAGTCACTAAAATCCTTGCTGCGCTTCAGACTTCCCCGGGTTTCTCTTGCTTGTCTCCCTGTCCATCCCCTATATCGTCCCTGTCTGAGCCCCTCCCAGTAGAGGGCTTAGAAGCGGTGACAACAAACCAGAGCCTGAACCTGAGGGCAAGAGTACCTAAGAGGGATGATAGGGTTGGGGGAGACTGGGAAAGTAAAAGAGGGCCGGCTGCCCTCATAATGAAGAGTATCTAACTCTTTCTTTGTCTGATATAACTTACATAGTCGTTTCATTTTGTTCCGCTGGAACATTCACAGCGTTGGCGCCAGTATCATTGAATCACCCATCAAACACTAACACCGTCACTAATTGCTATCCTTTCTTTGTCAATAGCTTCACTCCACTTTGAGTCTGAGCACAGCCGACTTCTCCTGCATATTCGAACTGTCGATTGTTTATATACACGCATACATCCCACCCATAGCTGCATGCTTCATAACTCCCGTCATCCTCTGTCTCTGTCTCTCTTTTTTCCAGAGACACGTTTACTCCCATCATATCTTCATATCCCCACCATCTCACCACTTCGAATTTCGGATTTAGTTGCCCGCTGCGACATCGTCCATCCTGTCACATTTCTTCCGTCGTCCAATTTCTCCGGTCCGCTTCTCCTGGACAAGACCCTTCGTCTCTCGACCGCCTCAAAACCGCCGGTACCCAAGCTCTTCAGCAACAGACAACCAGCCGATCAAGTACCCAATACCCGTGCTCATTCTCACTAAAACGAAAGCCAAAGCTAGAAGCCGACGGTACCTGACGGGAACTAAAAATATTGTTAGCACAGCCAAGAAAAGCTCGTTGCTCCCCGAGAACAAAGGTTGCCCCCCTTTTTGCCAGATGCGGCGTGGGGTGTAAACAAATGAGACACGCCCGCAATCAGTACCCGACACCGAAATAAGGGCCCCCAGCTGGGCCTTGCCGCCTCACAAGATGCCTTCTGCTACAACAACAACATCTACCGTTCCTAATAGGCCAACTACTCCAAAACTCCGTCCCAGGAGCTCCTCACGCGCTATCCGAAGACCGAACAGCGCTGCATCAACTCCTAACCTCAAGTCCGCATACGCTTCACATTCGCGCGCCGCGCCGCCGCCTCTACCGCGCAAAGGTTCCCTGGCCCAGCTCACACAAGGCTCCCTCGCCAGCATCCCCGATGTTTCTGAGAGCTACGCCGTTGATACTGTCCTGAGCGACTCCTCACAAAACATGATGCCCCCCACGACGCCCGGTCGCTCACAGGCTGTGAACGTTGCGCTTGGTGACATTGTTGATGTCCCTGGTGGAATGCATGGCGTTGTTCGTTTCGTTGGTCCTGTGCAAGGCAAGAAGGGAGTTTTTGCTGGTGTCGAGCTCGACCAAGAGTTTGCCAGCCGAGGCAAAAATGATGGCGATGTGGACGGGTAAGAATAATACAGCGTTTCATGGGGTTTCAACCACTGACAGTAGCCAACAGCATATCATACTTCACAACAACAATCCCTGGTGCCGGTATCTTCTTACCTGCGGCTAAGGCCCTTCCTCGCCGCGATTCGATCCCGCCACTTCCCATGACACCAGGCGCAATGGGTGGACTTCGGGCTGGCAACCAAAACTCACTCAACTACACTTCCCCGACACCTGGTCTCCCCAAGTTCAGTGCTTCTGTAGGACCTGGCGCCCGGGCTCCAAGCCCTCAGCAAAAGCTGGCACCCAGAACTTCTCTCCCCCGGCCCGACTCTCCTGTACGCCGGATGCAGATGACACCCGGACCAAGACCGTCCATGACAACACCAGCCAAAACTCCCACCAGGTATGGGAGCCCAACGCAATCTCGCTTCGCTCAGAGCGTTCGCGGTACGTCTGGTGATCCAAGCAAGAGACCCCAGAGAATGGACCGGAAGCCAAGTCATGGACCGCGAAGTGCTTCAGCCTTGGGGTCGATATCAGGTCTTGATGATGATCCCGCACCTTTGGGAATCCAGCGAACCGGTACCAATGGAAGCTCCGGGTCGGTCTCGTCGTTCGCGATGAAAATTCGACCTGCGTCGCGTATCAACGTCAATGATGAGGAACTCGATCGGCTGCGATCACAAATTGAAGATCGCGATCGGCAACTAAAGGAGCAGTCCGCTACATTAGCCGACATGGAGAGTAGCTTAGTTGAACTGCAAAGTCTTATGGAGCAAGCAGACATGCCGGCGGCGCAACGAAACAGCTGGGATAACAAGGACACGGCACAGCTGCGCCAACTGCTGAGGGAAAAGAACGACAAGATTGCCATGCTCACAGCAGAGTTTGACGCTCATCGAGCTGACTTCCGGAGCACTATCGACACTCTGGAGCTTGCCAGTACCGAAACGGAGCGCGTGTATGAGAAAAGGATAGAGGAACTGATGGCCGATGTTCGAGAGCTCGAGTCGCGGAACCTAGACGTCGATTCCGTGGCGACCCAACTAAAGCAACTGGAGGAACTGGTCCAAGAACTCGAAGAGGGTTTAGAGGACGCTCGTCGGGGTGAAGCAGAAGCTCGAGGGGAAGTTGAGTTCCTGCGAGGAGAGGTTGAGCGAACAAGGACGGAATTGCGTCGCGAACGTGAAAAGGCATCGTCAGCTCCTCCCGCAAACGGCGATAATACAGTATCTTCCAAGGAGCTTGAGCAGAAGGATGATGAGATTAGAGGTCTCAAAGCCATCATTCATTCGCTCAGCCGAGACTCTATTCCTGGAGAGCCCAAACCCCCCGCACCAAGGCCTGGTTCATTGATGGCCGAAGACGTCGTGGCGAATAAGATTGCGCGCGACAATCTCGAACGACAAGTTGCTGAACTCCAATCTCTCCTCGAAAAGAAGAACAGTCGCGAGGACGAACTCGAGAAGGAGCTTGAATCACTCCGTCAGAACGGCACAGTAGCCAACAGGTCTTCTTTCAGAGACTCCCGAGACACTGTCGTTATGGCCCAAGCAATGGAGAACCGACCAGTCGAGAACCTCAAGAGATCCAGTACCGCTACACATAAGCGGGTCAGCACCCTCGACACAATGCCAGAGAGTGACGACTACTCCAATGCCACTGAGACTAGCACCCTCTGGTGTGAGATCTGTGAGACTAACGGTCACGACATCCTAACCTGCACCAACATGTTCGGTCCTGATGGTGCTAAGACCAACGGCGAGTCCAATGCCATCAAGAAGGCCAGCCGCGAGGAGCTCAAGCCCCATACCCCTACAGGTGATGATGCCCCTGCACCTCTCACGTCCTTCAGACTCAAGAATACTGGGCCTCCCTCTCCTGCAGTTAAGATCATGCCGAACCCCATGGAGTCAGGCCCCGTTGCTGGCAAGGAGAGTGGCATCATGGACCCCGAGAAGTGGTGTGCTCTCTGTGAGCGTGACGGCCATGACAGTGTGGATTGCCCCTTCGAGGATGCCTTTTGAGGGTTAAATTCAAATATTTGTTTTCATAACGCATAGCATGTTGGAGAACCATTGAAACGAGCATCGGCACGGCCTTTCATGAAGCCTTGCGAAGGACGAATAAACTATGCTTGGTGTACAGGGGCGTGATGAAAACCGCCTCATGCGTGTATCCCCTTTTCATGTTCTTATTTTCGAAGCTGGGGTCGGCAGTCAGGTTTTGAATGCTAGGCCTTTGTCTGGTAAGGCACTCTTCGTGATACCATATCCTTACTCATGTTTTATATCCTCGACCCTGTCTTTATAGCACTTTCTTGTAATACTATGTGACATGGTTTATCAGACTGTATTTTGGTCAATATTCCTTGGTAATGTGAAGTCAGCAGTTGTGTATTATCTATCGCCTTGGTGTACCCTGAAACGTGTTGCTGCCTACATGTATTTCCTGCGATATATGTATTCTCTCCCCTCGAGCATTATGCCACCACCGAGCACTCTTCCACAGTTCATCATTCCACTCACCTGCTAATACACGATACTTCATTAAAAACCATATACTGGGCTCCCAACTACGTGAGTCCCATGGCACGCCTGCACCCATACCATGTGAGTTCCGCCCAGCTCCCCAACATGTGAAACCGCCGGAAAGAATATCATGACATAGAGCCCCTTCATCAATGGCATTGGGATCTCGATCGAGAATGGCGATGAGATTCTCACGGAAGATTTTAAACGGAATAACATCCTAACTGTATTAGTACGCAAGAGCATGAAGTCGTTCATACAAACACACAATATAAGGATGATGTCCAAACGTTAACTGTTTCTCAGTCGGTTGAAGGTCAGACGATACATCCCGAAATCTTGATTTCACCAAGGACAGTTTTGATGGATGATGGCCCTCGTCCGGGGTAACAGAGAACACACTGCAACCATCATCATGGAGTATCTCGTCTACACCCGCCATGCCGAGAGCATAGCAGTTTGCGAATATTGCACCAAATATCCCCGGCTCCATTGTGTACTGTGCTGGGAAAAGCGATGGTCTCGCATTTGCTGTTTTGTATAGCGCTCTCGCAAATTGAATAGCTTGAAGTTGGCCGGGAGTCTGATGCCATATCTTTTGCGAAGGAGACGGAGATTTTGGATCCCGGGTATCTTGTTGTAGACGACGAAGAAGAGATCGTTTTTGTTCAATGGTGAGGCTCTCTACACCGTGTATGACGTCTTCGAGAGAACTATCGTCATTACTTGAGGATCCTTGAGAGCCGCTGTGGCCTGGGTCTGAACTATCCTCGAAGACTTCTTCTATAGCCCTGTAGCCCATGTAGTCTGTTGTGAGTTCACCTGTAAACGTTGGAGATTGTTGTACAAGCCCAGGCATAACAGCTTCCCATTGGTCGTGAGATCCAAGGCTGGAAGAGTTGCCTTTGTCACCTAGTGGCAGAAATTCTGAAAACAGTTGGTTAGAAATGACCGTTGGAATCGATTCCTGGGTAGAATCTTCCCAAGTTTGCGGTACAAAATATGTCCCGGTGCCGTCGAAGCTATTGAGATCCAATGGTATGTGAGGATTAGACAGAGGTGTGTTGGACAATGTTTGACTTTGCAATGGGGGAGCGCCGATATCACTCAGACCACTGGGGCCCGGAACGTTATCTATATGACCATTGCCGGTGATACTAGAAAGGTTGCTGGGCTCCAAAAGCTTATTTAGCAGGGCGAGTTTCTGCTTCCGCTTCTCGCCTGCAATACCAAGGTTGATGGTGTTAGCAACATCAAGGCCCTTCGCCGATATATCGTGCAACTTCAGATCAATGAAAGTACATACGATAGTTTCGGCTAGCAAGGCGGTTCTGCTCACGGCGTGCCTCGCTATTGCGCTTGGCTGACACCTTGCCCTTCTGGACCTTTGTGGTCTCACCCATAATATTCCATGACAACGAGGTGAGATTGGGGTAGGCAGATGTGAAATTGACGCAGCAGACAAGATATTGATGGAACTGCGTTACTGAGGATGTTGATTTTATCAATTCTGAACTTTTAGGCTGCCGGAGGCCCACAGTTTCTTTGTTTAACGATATGGGCTTCTTCTCGTTCAAAAATGTTGAAATGTTTCTAGTTACAACGAAGATTGGATGTTGATGCTTCAGTAATAGGTAGGTGGGTAGGCCTCAGGGAGCAAGAAAACTTCTGACCGGGCACCAAGGTGTCAAAAAAAGGCTAGTCTAAAACTCCACTAATCTATACTAAACTTGCCTAAGTTTATTAAACTTACCTAGGTCTTTTTGTCACCTAGGACAGGAGTCAGAAGTTTTCTTACCCCCAGGTAGGTAGAGGTAGTGAGTTGAATGGTTCCACTTTTAGACTTACTCAAAGCAGTGGCGGTTTATCGACCAATCATACTAATCATTTTGCTGATTCCATCGTATCCCGCAAATAATTCCATGAGGCTCCAGCTTGTAGGTACCCTTACCCTGATCTTTCATAAAATCAGATCAGAATTTTGAAGAGTCTGTTGTACGACAGTACGTGGGCAAAAACCGACGCTGCTTCAAAGATACAATTGGAGACTCGTGGAATCCCATGGGTGTTTCATCGTCCGAGAGAAGCCTGGTCATTATCTCACATGTCAATGTTCTGTGTAATCTCATTATTCAATCCTGCGGTCACGGAGGACACAGGGTTTGTTTGTTGGACAACAAACAATACTTCGGATACCCCAGTTCATCAAGAGAGGGTGGTGGAAGTTTCCAGGCTTTAGACAAAGCACGCGACTTCACGTTCATGATGACCATTTATAGACACATCGTTTCGAATATTGTAGATAATCTAACGGTATCAAACCATAAACTGTCATGCGCCCTCCGAGTCGGGTACTCTAGCTTCCGCGGTGACAGGGGATGCCGGGCAGGCTTTTTGAGGAGGTGAAGAGTGAGCGAATCAGTGCAACACGCTGCATGCCCGGGCAGAAGCATCAGTGTCGGGTTGTGGGGTCCTAAATCGGACCCTGCGGCAGGAGAGAAAAAAATCGAAGAACTTTTGGCCACTGCAGGAAGGGCCCTAGGGGCCTTTTGGAGGGGTCCTGGGGACGCCTTGCAGGGGGGTCTGTTAGTGAGGTACCTACACAGCCTTGTATGACGCCTGTTGAGGCATGGGGCGTGTAGGTGAGGTAAGTTGTTTGTTTGATGTAATAGGTGTAAGCAAGTATGCCCGGTACCTAAGGGAAGGTATTGGATGCTTACAGTGGCTTTAAGATGGGCTTTTGAGTGTGTAGAAGCCCCTGGAAAACCCGAACAGAGTCCAGAAGAAAGTGCGGAAAGAAACAGAAAACAGAAAAAGTATTTTTGTTTTGATTTTTTTTGCCGCGTCACAACCTTCCTCTGAAGCCCGAGTCCTCCATGGCCCGCCAGTGTGGTTGTGGTTACTACTACGACGCACTAAGACGTAGGTCATGCATTATCAGCACCGCCACAGAATCTACATTCTTCCACACAATTCCATGAGGCGCGACTGTGCTGCAGCCTCCCCTTCTTCCATCTCAAAACCCGTCCGCTGAATCCAAATTCAAGTCTCAGCGCCTTATCTCGACTCGATTTGAACTTGACATTTGACTCTGACGTTTTTGTTTGAGACACTTCTCTCTTCTTTTCCGTGGGATAACTTCCCCTCTGTTTTGACATCTGCGAATTCCAGCGCTCTTATCGATCGCCTCTTTCTCTCCCCTCCACTTATTCGAATTTTAGAGACCAAAACCAGTTCAAACTCGCCGCAGCGCAGCCCCGCCGTCGGAAACTCGAACTCGAGATACACCCTTTGGCGAACAAGGTACGCACATAAGAACACTGGCTTCTCCCTGTGCTGGATGCTTAGTTTATGACGTTGTCATATTTCTCATCTTCTATACCCAGCCTATTGTTGTTGCGCGCGCGAAACCTGCATCTTTGTTTGCTTTGTCCGGGCTTTACTAATATTCAACAATAGTCCTCGCCTCCCCTCTTATCTTCGACGCTGCCTTAACAAAACACAATTCCAACAACCGACACAATGGTCAAGGAAACCAAGTACTACGATACCCTGGGCGTATGTCTCATCGATCCCCGAACAAACCTTGAACCACTACTAAACTATATCACAGGTTGCCCCTACTGCTACTGAGCAGGAACTGAAGAAGGCTTACAAGGTCGGAGCCCTCAAGTACCACCCTGGTATGTATCCCAAGACCCTCTAGTCAGATCAACATGTCTAATGCAACATAGACAAGAACGCACACAACCCCGATGCCGAAGAGAAATTCAAGGAAATCTCTCACGCCTACGAGATTCTCTCCGATTCTCAGAAGCGACAGATTTACGACCAGTATGGTGAGGCCGGCCTCGAGGGAGGTGCCGGTGGTGGTGGAATGGCCGCCGAGGACCTATTTGCTCAGTTCTTCGGTGGTGGCGGCTTCGGTGGCATGGGCGGCATGTTTGGCGGTGGTGGTATGAACCGTGGCCCCCCTAAGGCCCGCACCATTCACCATACCCACAAGGTTACCTTGGAAGATATCTACCGAGGTAAGATCTCGAAGCTCGCTCTCCAACGGTCGATTATCTGCCCCAAGTGTGAGGGTCTTGGTGGCAAGGAGGGTGCTGTCAAGCGATGCACTGGCTGTGACGGCCATGGCATGAAGACAATGATGCGCCAAATGGGCCCCATGATCCAGCGCTTCCAGACTGTCTGCCCTGACTGCAACGGAGAGGGTGAGATCATCAAGGAGAAGGATCGCTGCAAGCAGTGCAATGGAAAGAAGACCACTGTCGACCGCAAGGTCCTCCATGTTCACGTCGACAAGGGTGTTCGCAGCGGTACCAAGGTTGAATTCCGAGGTGAAGGTGACCAAGCGCCTGGCGTCCAGGCTGGCGATGTCGTTTTTGAGATTGAGCAGAAGCCCCATGCCCGCTTCACTCGCCGGGATGACGACCTTCTCTACAACTGCGACATTGAGCTTGTTACAGCTCTGGCTGGTGGTACCATCTACATCGAGCACCTCGACGACCGATGGCTTGCCATTGATATTCTTCCTGGCGAGGCTATTTCTCAAGGTATGTACTCCCTATAACGCACTCAACAATCGCAAGCTAACTGTTTCAGATGCCGTCAAGATGGTTCGCGGCCAAGGTATGCCTTCTCCCAGGCATCACGACTTCGGCAACATGTACATCAAATTCAACGTGAAGTTCCCCGAGAAGAACTGGACCGAAGACCCCGAAGTTTTCGAGACCCTCCGCAAGGTTCTCCCACCCGCCACGCAAAACGCCCCTCCCAGCGACGCCATGTCTGAACCCGCCAGTCTCGAGGATCTTGATAACACAACCCAGAACAGAGTATTTGGCAACTCCGACGGTATGATGGATGAAGATGACGAGGATGGCCACCCTGGTGGTGAGCGTGTGCAGTGCGCTTCGCAGTAAGCTAATCGAAAGAGAGCGGCGCAATAAACACACACGGCGAGTGCCATAACTGCATCAGTTGCATGCGTGAATCGGGCATTTCGCATTCCCACAGGTCTTAATGAGACACAGTGCAACTGAAGGTAGACGTCAGTCCTTGTCGGCGACGTCGCTTAATCGTTCAATGATACCAAAATTAGCAGAGGATACGGCCTTCTAGGGATTGTGAGCGAGCGTGGTACTGGGGATAAGGTGCAGTTGGGTGGGCACCTGAGCTGAACCTCGAACGATCGCGTTTGAGGTCAGTGGAGGTGGAGGAGCATTCGATCAGGCTTGGTTGGCGTTTTGAGGACATAGACGATTCAAATGAATTTGGTAGTAGCAGACGTAGACCATGAACATGATGATTTGTTTGTTATTCTAATCTTGGTCGGCGATACTTGCAAAGCATACGTGACCGGACAAGGGGACCCAAGAGACTGTCAAAGCTTTAAAAGGATACTTGCTTTACATGCTGTTGCAAGACGTATGTCCTAGTTGCTAGGTACCTTGCCTATGACGAGGGCTCACATTTGGTTCAAACGCGATCGGAAATATCATATAATGGGGACCTCGAACACATCGTTTCATTCACTATGTACTACGTATTTGACTGGTCTAGGCGTATCTGCTGCCTCCATGATAAACTCGACTTTGTATGGTTGTGGAAGTGACTTTTGTCCATTGTGGCACTGCAAAATTAATTTCATTTCTATCTTACTTTTGGTACATCTCCATTACTCCTCAGTAGGCACAGCCTCTTCCATCACTTGGTCTTCAGGCATCTGCTCCTCACCCCTTTCCTCTTCCCGTTCTGTGGCCTGTTTTCTCAAAGGTTCGGTATTATACAAAAGGCTCCTCACGATCTTCTCATCGACCTCAAGTTCGGTGCTTTCGATATCATCGTCATTTACTGAAGCTATGGTGCTTGTGGCGAGCTTCTCATCAGTCATGGTAAGTGAGTAGACAGCCAGGCTTTTTGCCTTTGTAGGATCACTGGGATCCAGAGCAGCGATGATCTTGGGTGCTTCACCGCTATTGGCGGGCTTGATAGAGAGGTCGAGGGGCTTGCCGGGAAGCTGGATGATAGCTGGGTGGTTAAGGGTATTGTTTTTGGTAAGTTGCCATGAAAAGATGGCCGCAATACTAATCAGCGTGAGTAAAGTCATAGGGTATTAATGGAGAACACACTTACTCCTGACATATGGCGAGAACATAGACAAGATCCGAGCCATCACGTGGATATATCAGGCTGTAAAGCCCAGACACAGCTACCTTTGCGGTCTCCGGCAGGATCTTTTGAGCTAAAGACAAGATGCTAATTTTGGAGAGGAGTTTGTTTGAGGTCCAATCCCAGACGAATAAGTCCTCATCACCACCGCCCGACACAAGAACATCACCACGCGAGGCCGGAATGACCATGGAGCTGATGAACTCTGTATGGCCAAAGCAGAAACCCTCAATGACATACGATTGAGGAATGTATCTTGACACCCGAATATGTTCATCACGATCGGCAGTCAGAATATATCGCCGACCCTCATTCTCACCGATCGCGAGTGCAGTAAGCATAGAAACATGGCCAAGCAATAGAGTGATCTCAAAGTCTGGACCTTCGGATTTGGAGTTGCTGTCGTTTTTGGTCCGCGTAGCAAGCTCCATCTGCCTTTGCTGCTCTTGAAGAGCTCGCAGGTTGCGCTTCGAGTGAACGGTTGTGGTATTGGCAGATGGTTTATAAGCCGGTTTGGCTGGGGCAGGGGTTGAAGCAGTTTGAACAGTAGGGTCGTAGAGGAGAGGGAGAGCGTAAACATCCCCAAATTTGTCAGCGACAACAATCTGAGAGTCAGGTCCAATAACTACATCACTAGGGCGCTTAGGAAGAGTTCTGGTCCAGGGTTAGCATAAGAGGCTAATGAGTTTCTTTTTCGTGTGAGCCTACCGTTTGCTGACTTGGTTGAGAGAACCCTTCCCATCATTCTCAAAGACCCAGATGGCCTTGTCATGTCCGGTGATAGCCAAGATATGGGAGCAATCAGGAGTACTTGTCAGATGCGTAATGACTGGGCGATCGGGTACTCGTGAGATGTTGTGATCCTTTGCTCGTTGCTGATTTTGTCTGTTCTTGCTCTTCTTCCCACCCTTCTTTTTGCCCTCGTTTTTCATTTCCCCAGCGATTTGAGTCTCCTCTTGGGCCTTTGGTTCGGCAGGAGTTGTCTCATCTTTTGGCTCTTCGGTTCTTTGTCTCTTAGCTGGGGGACCATTCTCATCTTCTTCCTCGGCGATATGAGTCTTTGTCACGAGTTTCTCACTTGAGACATCACCTGAAAAAGCTTTGACTGCCGCGTCTACTTTGTCAACATCTGGATGTTTCCATGTTGAGAGGTGAGATCCGTCCTCAAGGCTAAAGGAATGAATCTTGCCTCCTCGAGCAGCAAAGAGAACATTGCCACTGACGTGGGCAACGTTGAAGGGGAATTTCATGACGTCTGAGCCCCTGTGAGTTAATTGAAGGTTAGATATCGGATTGACGAGATTTGATACTAGAGCAATTGCTCAGTGACATCCCAAATCAGACTCTTTACCTAAAGTTCCACTTTCATGGACGTGATGCAAAAAAGATACATCGAGAATGTACCTTCATCTAGGATTCCACTCTGCACCCCACTCTACACCGAAAGCAGACTAGCCCCTCCATGCCCTAAGCGAATTGGCCGGCAAGCACACATTACATTTTCTAAAAGCTGCCGCCAAATTAGTTTTCTTGTTCTCATCAACATCTTCATCAACCTCCAATTTCCATTTTACGATACCCCTTGCCCTTAAATAACCTGCCTTCAGAAAAATAAGAAGATATGGGGGGCAAGTCCGAGAACAAGGCCAACTATTTCGACAAGCTCAAGGGCTTGCTCGAGGCCTACAACTCCATCTTCATCGTTGAGGTTGACAATGTCAGCTCCCAGCAGATGCACGAGATCCGACAGGCTCTCCGAAGCAAGGGTGTTGTCCTGATGGGCAAGAACACCATGGTGCGTCCCTTTTCCAAAGAAGAAGACTCATTCCGATCGCTAATAATGATACTAGGTTCGCCGAGCCTTGAAGACCTTCATCCCCGACTCCCCTGAGTACGAGCGTCTCCTTCCCCACGTCAAGGGCAACGTTGGTTTCGTCTTCACCAACGGCGACCTTAAGGAGGTCCGTGACATCATCCTCGCCAACAAGGTCGCTGCTCCTGCTCGTGCCGGTGCTCTCGCCCCTGCCGATGTCTGGGTTCCTGCTGGAAACACTGGTATGGAGCCTGGAAAGACCTCTTTCTTCCAGGCCCTCGGTGTCCCCACCAAGATTGCCCGTGGTACCATTGAAATCACCACTGATCTCAAGCTCGTTGAGGCCGGCTCCAAGGTCGGTCCCTCCGAGGCCACCCTGCTCAACATGCTCAACATCTCTCCCTTCACCTACGGCATGGGTATTTCTCAGGTCTACGACCAGGGCCAGTCTTTCCCTCCCAGCGTTCTCGACGTCGGTGAGGAGCAGCTCCTCAAGACTCTGTCCCAGGCTATTACCACCATTGCCACCATCTCTCTGGCTCTGAACTTCCCTACCCTGCCTTCCGTTCTCCACTCCGTTGTCAACAGCTACAAGAAGGTTCTTGCTGTTGCCATCTCCACCGAGATCACCTGGCCTGAGATTGAGGAGCTCAAGGACCGCATTGCCAACCCCGATTCTTATGCTTCCGCCGCTCCTGTCGCTGCCGCTTCTGGTGACGCTGCCGCCCCTGCTGAGGAGAAGAAGGATGAGTCCGAGGAGGAGGACGAGGACGAGGAGGGCTTCGGCGGTCTTTTGTATGTGAACCCCTTCCAATGTATTGCGAACATAACTAACAAATTTGCAGCGACTAAATGTAGTCACATCAACAGGATGTACGACCGCCTTCCAGGACTTTGGTTGGGTTTACGACTTATGTATCTTAAAAAAGGGGCACATAGATCGTCTGCTGGACAATTGAATCTGTCGCGACGGTTAACGAATCAAGATTCAGGCCTCAACATGCGAGTGACAGCTTTTACCAAACCGACTAATGCAGCTCTGCTGATTGAGTGCGATATCCAAAAAGGTTAGTCAGACATTACACAGACACTTTCTTTTTCCTTTTTGCATTTCCGGATGATTATATAAATTGTTCAAGAGCTTTTTAACCCTGAATCTCCTGATGACACACACATCACCACCCTATGACGGACACCTATTACAATCATGTTTTGACAAGCTGTTTTCGAGAGTATTAAAGCTAATGGTCAAATTGTACAGGTCTCTACGCCCCCGATTGGTCTCACTCTTCCCTCATGTGATGTCCGTGCATGTTCCCCAAACGAATTTAATAGCCCAGCTAAACTGTAGGATGTGAGAAGAATGGGAATACCTAACCATATGTACTAGGAAAAAAACTTGAGCTTCTAGTTAACCTTCTCATAGCTCAATATCATATTATAATTGGAAGTTTAGAACTCTTGTTACATTGTTCAGGCATGAGCTAGAGTTTGAAGATAGACTAATCTGTATCAATACTATCCATTGGATTCCCATGCCGTAGAATTTGTCTGACTTTTCGTTAACTCGTAACTTGATGATTGATTGGTCGAATGTGATTGACTTGCAAGAAGATATTCTGAAGTCTTTCAAGCCTTTGTTGGCCCTGCCGACCTCCTGCGAAAGGCATTACTTCACCGTCACCACCCAAAGACATCTATCTATATGAAGTTATCTTGTTTCAGTGCTCGTTTCGCTACCTCAATAGCTCGATCCGGTAGTCCAGCAAGCCTTGCAACTTTCAGTGCGTGGCTTTGTCGGTTAATACCTCTCTGAAGTTTGTGATTGTAGAAGAAACCTCCCTCACCATCCTCGACTACATTGGTGCAATATGTCTGAACAACAACCCCTGCCTCAGCCGAACACAACCCTTCTGCTTGAGCTAAATCGGCTACAGAGTGGAAGTGTGTCGCAAAAAGGGTACGGCATTGGTTGACGGTTGCGAGATGATGCAGGCATGCAAAGGCGACAGCTGTACCGTCCTCTGGCGTGGTACCTCGACCGATCTCATCCATGATGACGAAAGACCGCGGTGTTGCCTGCTTGAGGATAGCTGCTGTTTCTAGCATCTCAACCATGAATGTGCTTTGATCGCGGTAGAGGTTGTCGGCTGAGCCCACACGGCTAAAGATAGCATCCACGATACCTAGTTCTGCGTATGATGCCGGCACGTAGCAACCGATCTGGGCCAAGATCGTGATGAGAGCATTTTGGCGTAGAAACGTACTTTTGCCGGCCATGTTGGGCCCTGTGATAAGCCAGATCCGGCCGTCAGTGGGCGATCCAACCAGACAGTCATTCCTCACAAAACTTCGACCCTGCTCAAATAGGCCACCTTCAACAGTGGGATGTCGGCCGCCTATGATGGTGTGACTAGTCGTATTGTTCAGCATGGGCCGGACGAGGTTCTGCTCGCGAGCCAGCTTAGCGAAGGAGGTTGTGATGTCAAGTTCATCGAGGACGGCTGCATTACGGCGTAGTTTGACGAGATTTTTGACGACATGCTCTCGAAGGGAGTAGAACACGGCTTGTTCTTCAGCACGAATCTGGGCGCGGACTTGGTCGATACGCTGCCCGAGAAGTGTCCATTCGGATATGTGGAAAGATCGCGTAGAACGGCTAGAGGAGAGAGCTTGTACATCAGCGAGATTGCGAGCGTCTTTACCCTTGATGTGTGCAATGTGGCCGAGGCCAGGTGTCCACTTAAGGGATAAACTTGGAGCATTGAGGCTTTCGCGGAGAGTCTCGTTGAGTGTCGCTTTCTCCTCTATCAAAGTCGCAAGATCAATGTGAAGCTTTGTCAAGGTTGGGCTCGCAGCAGGTCTCATGATCCAAGCTCCATTATCTTCGGCGTAATGGTCCCGAATACTGCCGGGCCGTTTTCGCTTGCCCTTAGGAAGAGATGCCGCATCGTCTTGTGATCCTTCATTGCTAACGACATTTTCAGCAAGGGCTAACATCTGGCTGGCCTCAGAGTCTTGGACCTCATGCTGTAACTCGATGCCTTCTTCATCAATGGCGTCTCTGATGCGCTGGGCAAGTTTCAGGGGCTGTGTCAGACTGATTCGAGATATCAATGAAGTCAGGCAGTGGTGCTCGGACTTGCGAGATGGAGCGTTGGCCTTTTTCAAGAGATTCACGATATTTTTGGTGGCATCGATAGTACTGGCCAAATCGAGGAGGTCATCAGCATCGCCACGGCCAAGTGTGAATTTCTGAACGAGGCGCTGAGAGTCATGGCTCCTACGCAACAAGAGGATTACGGAGTCACTCAGATTTACATCGTCGATGAAGCGGGCGACGAGGTCCTGTCTACTAGTGATGAGCTCAAGAGACGTCGACGGTGCGCTCAACCACTCGTTGAGAAGTCGAGCACCGCTTTTAGTAACAGTGCGACGAATAGCATGCAACAAACTACCTCGGAACACACCATCACGAATGGTTTGCTTGATCTCAAGAGCACGCATGCTATTTTTATCGACAGCCATGACCTGCATGTCTTTGTTCCTCAGCGGGGGTTGCAACTTCATACTCATGCCTTGCAGCCGATCCTTGACATAACCAAGAAGGAAGCCGGCAGCGTGCACCTCAGCGGATGAGAAGGCGGATGCCTCATGCTTAGCTAGGGCAGACTCCAGCATGGGCGCCCAGTTTTCTGGATGAAACAGCGAAGAATCATGCGGGCGGGGTACGTATGAGATGATGTGACGATCCTCGGCGAGGAGGTCAGATAGGCCACTATCAGGGCAGGACTGTAGCGCCTGGTCTAGGAGAAGCTCACGCGGGCATAGTCGGGACAAGATCGTCGGTAAGGATGCAAGATTGGCTTCTTGGGTGCAGAAGTGGCCGGTTGAGAGATCGAGCCATGCTAGGCCGAGTGGCATGGCGTCTTGGAACCCCTGAGACTGTCCAGCATCTCGGCCAACACCAACAGCTGATGGTGCTGGGTGGGCTGATTCGGGTTCATGGCCCGCTAGTCCTCCTTCTGAACCTGCTACTCGGCCGATAACGGTCTTCGCATCAGCGACAGTATTTGGAGCTTCAGTGCCCAGGTCCATATGAATCGCCATCACGTAGTTGTTGGCGTATGGGTCCATGAAATTCTCGTCTATTAGAGTTCCGGGGGTAATGATACGGGCAACTCGACGGTCATGCATCAACCCACCTGACCTGACCTTTGCTGTGGGGGAGTTTGGATACTCTTCCGCGATCGCGACATGGCGACCGAGATCTTGAACGAGAATTTTGAGGAAACGATCGAGCTGGAAGAAGGGAAAACCTGCCTATAAGACGGGCGATGATGGTGAGATATCGAACCAGAAGATGAAAAGATAGCGTCAAGATGGAGGGTAGTGATAAACATACCATGGGGACAAGACCAGCATTTGTCTTTTTGTTAGCTACCTTGATGTTCAACAGTGGCCCGAACTCTTCAGCGTGCTCAAAGTAGAGCTCGTAGAAACCGCCAACTCGCGTCAGCAACACACAGTTGTCGAACTTGAGCATATTCTGACGGGCTTGAAGCAATACGGTTGGGTACGCGGGAGGATCTTGGGGTAACGGCGGCAGCGGCAGCGGCAGAGCCTCTGTCGACTCATCGTGGGGAGATGAAACGGATGATGACGTTGGTGGAAGTGATACTGGCTTCGGTTGAATAAGCCCCTGAGGCAAATCGGAGAGCTTTATGGTGGTGGTGGTCTTTTTACCCCTTGTTTGGAGGGGACGATGGGGAGATGGTGGATGTCGGAATGGGCGGATGGAGAAGCCATGGTGTAGTGGGTGATCAATATGACGATATCCGTGAGAAATGGAAGAAGCTTTAGGTGAAGGAGATCCTACTATTACTGCATCAGAAACAACAGATGCGGCTGCCTTGAGCACAGGGCTCGAAGCTGAAGCTGAAGAAGAGGCGGGTACAGAGATAGGCCTAGAAGCTGAAGCTGAAGCTGATGCCAGGGGCCGCAGATGGCGGATGCCGAATACTGGGGGCACCATGCGACCGGAACATGGAGACGGGATGGGCTGTTACAGTGGCGATGGTGTTGATGCAATGAATGGGTGTTTGAAGTATCAAGCAAGGGCTAATTAATTGAGGGTTGTTTACTGATATGCAAGGTCAATTCCTGTTTCGGGAACAGCTCAAGAGGGGTCATTGATCAACTAACAGTCCGGCTTTAATTAATGTTTGCTGCAGGGTTTAAGGCTGTCGACAATACGTAGAAGCAAGATCTGGCCTGTCAAAACGGTGACGCTGAATGAGAGATGGTATGGCGATCAACGGATGGATCACGCAGGGCTCATATGATGACAAGTGAAAAAGAAAGCATTCGACATAACCCCGCTGGTGTAAGGTACTCGAAAAAGAAAAACAAAAAAAGTAATATGGGCCATCAAAAAGTGGCTCCGAGTATCGTAAATCAATTTATAGAACCAAGCCGATTTGCTGAGGCTCAAGAACACAATCGGTGAGTTACAGCTTGCGCTTGGTAGACAGCAGTTTAATACAAATTCTCTGTAGCTTCTGGTCGTTTCAAGTGGAGAACAGCGGATATGAGCGTTATGGGGACGTATCGGTGAGAAAAAGGGAAAAGAAAATAGGTAAATCAAAATCAACTGAGCTCAGGAGTAGGAGGCAATGCAATAACTTCATCTGAGACCAAATCTGCATCGACGAGCATAGAAACACCACAGCAGACTGTCATAACTATCGCCTTGCTTCGCACACAATCATCAGCAATTATTTTTATTCTTAGTAGGCTCGGCAACCACAAAATCTCCTCATCTTGAGCTAACGAATGAGGAAAGGAACGTTCGGTAATAGTAGGACCCCCGACTTATAATTCCGATCCTGATGGATGATCAGGGACTTTATGACAAGGTACTCCAGAGATTTTACGGAGATGGACAGCGCCAGAGCCCACAAGCGAACAGCACATGTAGCCATGAAACGGAAGGAATCTGACCATGGAGGCGTTGACCAACGAGAGGGACCCGGGTCTTCGCGAACAACGTGTGAGTAAACAGTCGAGAGTCATCGCCCTCGAACGACGATAGCCAATGCATGGCGATGCGCGGCTTTTCCGAGATCTACAGGGCCTGGTTCCCTCCAAAGCAATCGATCATGCCTGGAGACCTACCGGTATGTAGGAAATAGAGTTCCCATCTGGAGTTTGATGTGGGAAGTGGAAGGACATGTGGTGCCATAAGTCAACGCTACATCAAGAGATTTCGTTACCC